AAATCCAACACTCAGGAGGCTGGGGTAAGGGGACTGCTAGGAAAGGACTGCTGGGAGTGTCAGGCCAGTCTGGGTTACAAAGTGAGTTCAAGGCCAGCCTGAACTACATAGTGACAGCCTATCTCAAGGTTTTAAACATCTTTTTCTTTTTCTGGGCAAATAGAAAGAAATACATATTATAATTACCTGCAGGTCAGGACATGCCTTTTGCAATGCTTGAATTTTCTCTTGGATCTCAATTAGTTTCTTTCTTTCTTCTTGTAATTGTTTTAGTTCTCTCTGTTGCTGCTGCAATTTAGCTTCATAAAATTTCTCTCTGTAATTACAGTGACACTGTATTTGTGGATTATAATAAAGTATGTTGACAATAACATAATACCTAGCGAACTAATTTCTCTAAAACAGGCACTAGAGCCAGACATGGTAGCACATGTGTGTAAATCCAACACTCCAGAGGCTGGGGCAAGAGGACTGCTAGGAGAGGATTGCTGGGAATGTCAGGCCAGTCTGGGTTAGTGAGTTCAAGGCCAGCCAGTACCACATTGTGACAGCCTATCTCAAAACCAAAACAAAATAATATTAAAAAGCTACTAAATTTTTGTTCAGTGATGTCCAAAGCTCATCATACCTTGCCTTTTCATTTACTCTAATATCTTTCTGTGTTTTATTGGTATTTCCTCTAGCATTATTTGAGTTTTGTTTGACATCCTCTCCTGCTGGGTAGACATCACCCAAATTTGCTGTATTGACAGAGGTACTTCCTTCAGCTGCATCATCATCCTAAAACAGAATAATTACATTAAAAATTATCTCAATACCTAAGACTACCCAATTTAAACCTCTATAAATATCTTAAATTAAACAATTTATATAAAACAATGCAATGAAGCACACAGTTTTTACAGTAAACTAAATGTCACCTCTCAATGACAAGAAATGAAGCTCTAAAACCAAAAGGAACACATTTAAATCTGATTTGCTCATTATTTTTTTTTTTTTGGCGGAACTGGGGATTGAACTCATGTCCTTGCGCTTGCCAGCCAAGCGCTTATTCTACTGAGCCATCTCCCTGGCCCTGATTTGCTCATTATTCAGTGCTATGGCTTAGCTATGTTTTGAGCATGTCCCCTAAAGGTTATGTATTGAAATTTCAAATCCCACTGCAAAGAATTAAAAGGATGGAAATTTAATCCCTATAGTGTTACAGAAAAAGTGATCAAGATTCAAGAAGTCATCATCAGAACAGAACCCACATAACTGAACACCAGTGGCTTTTATAAGAAAAGAGATGGATACCAAATGGCAATGGATATAAATGTATGCTCCTCGTTGCTTGCTACATGATGTCTTGCAGCACCTCAGGACTCTTGTAGGCCAGAAGGCCATCATCACATGTGGGCCTTTGTAACACTCCAGCCAAATAAACTTATTTTGTCTATAGTTACCCAGCCTAGGATATTTCATCAGAGGGTTGCAAAACAGCCTACTGATGTTACACTAGGAGAAGGGCAGCATTATATAACAGTTGAGAAAAAGATAAAAAGGATTTTATTAAAAGTGAAATCATTTTTTGTTGCTCTACACAGACGATACCTACTTTATCAAACTGTAAAGACTTAAAGTTTATTGACTACATTAACATAGAAGTTAAAATAGGAATATTTTCATATTTATATATTGGGTTTTAAGAATTCATGATTATTACTTCCAACTTCCCAACACTTATTTATTCATTCATTTGTTGGTACCAGGGACTAAACTCAGGACATTGTGGTTGTCAGGCAGTTTCTTAAGCAGCTATCTTCCTGGCCCTCACAGCACTTTAGCAGGTTTAAGTAGAAGGATTACAAGCATGGGCAACTTAGTGACCCAGTATCAAAATAAAAATGGTCTGTATATGTAGCTCAGCGTGAAGGTCTTAGGTTTAAACCACCACACTACAAACAAAGCAAAACAAAATAAAACTTCCAACTTATTTGAATTTATTGAATAAAATAAGATTTTTCTTCTTCCACATCAAGTGGGTTAAGATCGCAGGTGTCTGGTGTCAGATAGCCTAATTTCTGATTCAGATTATCAGTAGATCTGTAACACTGGACAATTAACATCTCTTCAATCTCTTTACTCTCTATTTCACTGAGATATCATGAGATCTACTTGGCACAGGCTGAGGTTATCAGTGAAAACAAAAATAATCTAGTTTTGTAAATAAAACTACACTGGAACACAGCCAAGATAATTTATATATTATCCATGCCTACTTTGTACTGAGAAATTGTGACCAAGATACCCACTAACTCATCCATATTAGAAAAAGTTTGCTGATGTCTGATGTACACTATAAGGTACTAACTGTTTAAAACTACCCCATAAGAAATAATGTAGGACTGGGGACATACATCTGGTAGAGTGCTTGCCTAGTACATTCCAAGCCCTGGGTTTAATCCCCACCACCACAAGAAAACATACTGGTTTAATTATATCAACACAACTGTCAAACACATACACACATTTTACTTTGTATGTACTATTTTTTTCCCCTACCCCCAAAAATTCAGTCTATTTACCTGTACCATAGCAACAAGGTCTTGTAGCTGTCGAAGTTTCTGTTTTGCAGCCATAAGTCTATAGATCTTCTGTTCAAATTCTGCATCTTCTGGAGCCTCATCAACCACACTGCTCCTATGACTGGACAATGAAGCGCCACTGACTGCCTCCTCTTCTGCTTCTTCTTCCTCTTCCTCATCATCTTCTGCTTGTGCTACATGGATCTCTTGATCTCCTTCTCTATTATATCGACAATCTGTTAAAATTGTATCAACCAGTCAATTTTTAAGTATGTTTAAAAGTACTAAAAAAGAAGACATACTTTCCAAGAATATGGCAAACCCTTCAAATACAATCAATCATACCTAAAGAAGGAGGCATGTTTACAGCCCTAATGTTGGTGGCAGATCTGTTGTTTATTTCACAATTAGCATTAGCTGACCGCCCATCTCTATTGTTAGAAACACACTGCGGATTACTATTACTATTTACTTCATTCCATGTGGCAGATACTTGCGGATTTCTGAAAAAAGAAAACCTAGTTAAAAAAAATTAAAGTTTCAGAGCTTCAGCAAAAGGAAAACACTGGTTATCCCATTTAAACTTTTAATGATGAGCCCCTACTTTTCATTAACTTCTATACATGTTCATTACTTGCAAATTTATGAACATCTGAGAAGTAAAAATTACACATAAAATATAAAGGAAAGAAAAATGGTGATGAGATATTTCTTACAATTTATTATATTTGACCTAACAAACAGCAAACTGACTATAGTACTATATTCAATACTTCCCTACTTTGCCTCTATAGAGCAAGGATGATAATACAGTAAAAATAATTGTTATAGGAGAAAAGTTTAAATGAAAAACAAAAGAATACTTTATAGAGGTTCTTCTCACATCCTGCCCTGCCACCAACACACTAGAACTATTAGGTTAGGGTGAATACACTGAAGCACTTAAAAAACACTCTTACCGAATGTTAGTAACAGGTTCAGAATTTTCATGCTCAGAATCATACTCTGATTCTTCAGTTTCCTCCTCTTTTGTGTTTTCATTTACAGCATCTGCCATCATATCTGATGTTTGTTCATAATAATGAACTAATTCTCTTAATTCATTCAGTCTTTTTCGAACTTCATTTAGCTTCCTGATAAAGATATAATATTAGTGCACGTTAGCAAAAACAAAACCATACTATTTTCATAACAGGCAGCACACACAGACACACACACACCATTAACTCTAGCAAGAGAGACCATATCAAATATTGAGGGAATCTGACTATAAGTGAGTTTAATCTCAAATATGATTTGCTCAAAAGACTCATTACTTTATTTTCTTATGTGGGTGTAGGAATAAAAGCATAAACAATTTTAATTTCGATTTTAGGGATAAATATTAACAGCAAAAAGCTCAATGTCAAAACATTTCTAGGCTTCTTCATGTGTTTAAAAAATATAAAGTACTAATATTCAATTTAATTACTCTCTTAGGCAAATCAGATATGCAGACCTTACTGTGTATTTACAGGTTCCCAACTGCCCACATAAAAATGAATCTATAAAGTATATAACATTTTTAAGAAAAATAAGTTTACTGAGTTGTCCACTTAAGTGACAAGAAATACTTTTTAGTTCCTGCTAACACTAAAATGTCATACGTCTTCCACAAATGCGTTCAATCACTACGTATCAATTAAAAATACATTTAAAAAGAAAACTTTCATTAACAGGTATACTGTTAGCCCTCTTTTGCAGAAAAGGGAATAGAGGTTTAGTAAGGTAAGTTATTGGTCCATAGTGACATACTCTTACATGATATAACTGCAGGGAAATATGACTCTTGAGCCTGAGGCCTTTCATTTGAATAAGAAATATTTTAGTTATAACCTAGATATTTCTGACTCTTTCTTTGAAAACATCAGTTTGCAAAAGTCACCTCAGTTATAATGTTATATTTCTCTTTAACAAATCATACAACGTACATATAACACACCACACTCCTAATCTAAAAATGTTTATTTTATTAAATAATTTCAGTTTCCTTCAAAATGCCAACACAAGAAAAACCTAAACTTTATCCCCATTGTTTAATTCTAATCTATGTGAACAGGATTGTAAAAAATGTTTTACTGGAGTTTTTCAGTTGGATTTAGATGGCCTTCACGTTCATTCTCATTCTGAGAAACCAGAGAAGTAGCAGCATAAGGAACAGATGATGTAAGGCTATTATTGGACTCTCCATTGACAATTGGCGCCAAGACTACAGAAGCAGAGGGGGCTGAACTTGTACTTCTCTGATCTGTACTCTTCTGTGGAGAGGATGATGAAGGAACAACTACAAAAAAAAAGGAAAATTACAGTTACCATAAAAAAGATCATGGCCTTAAGTAACAGTATGCTTAGAGACTGAGAAATAACGATTAAAAACCATTAACAACTTAAATCTGCAGCAATTAAATTTTTACCAACTTAAGAATATATCTAGGTCACTTATTTATTAATGTACTCTACAAGCAAATGCACCAAAATACACACAGAAAACATTTTCTACTTCTTCTAGAGACTACTTTTTTGTTTGTTTCTTGACACAGGGTCTTGCTATGTTTTTTAGGATGGCCTTGAACTCACTACATACCCCACTGATCTTCCTTCCTCAGCCTCCTGGATGCTGGGATTACAGACATTTACAATATTACTTTTATATTAGACTCACTGGGTTGAAAAGGGAGAAGAGGAATTCCAAGAATTATGATACTATATACTAGAAAAATAAAAGAGTACTCTGATAAACTTTATTTCCTAACCATATACATCAGATAAAGATATGCCTTTCCTCATGTTGATGTCAAAACTTTGTCATTTTTCTTTTTAAAAGGACCATTATTACTTGCTGCTTACATTAATGACATAATTGCTATGGCTGGTTTCCAACAGACACTTGACCATTCTGTCTTTTACTGTTCTCTCATTTTCCCACTGGAAAAGAGATCCTGTGGAGTTGTCAATACGCAGAGTTCTTTATGCACATAAAACTGGCCACAAGACTACAAGCATGAGTTTCAAATTTTAAGTTATTCCCAGTTCTCTTCCTCTCTTTGTAAAGGATAAGGACTGAAATTATACTCTAGAGAAGAAAACTAGCAGAAAACTGGGAAAAGAAAGGAGAATGTTTCAGCATCTATGTATGTAATTCAAGCTGGTCTTGAACTCCAGACAATACTCCTCCCTCAGCCTTATGAGTGCTGGGATTATAGACATGTACCAAGTTTGGTAGAAAAAGAAGAGTTTTTTTTTTTCTGGAGGTGGCAGAAAAACAGAATGGGAGAATAAAAAGAAGGGACTCTAGAAACAATGTTCTTATCCTTAATCTTTTTTTTTTCTTCAGTAAGACAGTGATTGGAATGTTAAAGAATAACAATCAATTTGGGTTGCCCTTACTGACTTTGATTTCCAGTGTCCAAACCCTGTTACTAATTGTTTTAATAAGTGTTCGGAACCACACTTGAGGTATTAGGACACCAAGACTCACAACTAGGTCTAATCCAGAATAGGCTGGAGTATAGCTCAGTGGTAAAGTACATGCTTTTAGCATATGCCAAAGCCATGGGTTTAATCCCCAAGACCAAAATTAAAACCAAAAAAGAATTAGAGCTAGCAGAGTATCTATGCAGTATGAAAGACATCTCTATGGTAACACTCCCTGAAATGACCACAGTTTAAAAAAAATATAGGTTAAGTCCCATGATTACAAACTATAGATTTTCTGTACTAACCCATGTGTGCTACATAAATTATTTTGTCTTTCTCGCTCTTTTGCTTTTTGCTTTTGTTTTGTTTTTTTGCAGAACTGGGGATTGAACTCAGGCCCTTGTGCTTGCCAGGGAAGTGCTTATTCTACTGAGCTATCTTCCTGGCCCCTCTTTTGCTTTTTGTGTGTGTGTGTGTAAATAATCTCTGAATCTGTTTCATAGTCACAAGGTTTTTATTTTTTTGAAGAACTGATATCAAATCCAGATCTTCAACTGTGTCAGGCAGTGTTCTGAGCTACAATTGTAGCCCATAATTTAGGGGATTTTCAAAGTACACAAAGGATTTTTTTCTCCTGAGGGAAAATTTTGAATATTCTAAAAAATGCAGCACTGTGTATAAATATCAAATATTTATCTCCTTTTCTGCCTCTTATTAAAATTTTAATTTTTCAAGGCACAAATTTGCTCTTTCTCTTTCTAAACTTACTATCCATCTAACTATTATTATGTTATGGTCTGTGTCTAGTTGTCCCCCCAAAGCTTCATGCACTCATCGGGTGGACTTCTAGAGTTTGTGTTTAATTCATAATCCACTGGGATTACAGGTCTGAGTGCTGCTGGGATCAAAGATATGAGTGCTACATCTAGGCTGGGGTGGATAGCCTGAATGCACCTTAAGGGAGACAGACTTGCTCTCTGTGGCCTTTTGTTGCCACAACTCTCATTTGCTCTTACTCTTTGCCTCCACCATGAACTGCTGCTCTGTGCCTTGGAGCCAGCCAAATGTGGACTGAAATCTCCATTATTAACTGTGAGCTAATAAACCTTTCTTTCCTTCATTTTGGGCAGTGGGTATTTGTCCCAGCAACACGAGAAGAATAACACTGGCTTATTATTTTTTTAAATGTTTTAAAAAAATTTTTGTTTACTTGTTACAGGATCCCACTGTGCAGTTCAGACTCATAATGATTCTCCTGTCTCAGCCTCCCCAGTGCTGGGATCACAGGCATGTGCCATGATGCCCGATTTTGGGGGCCAGCATGGCATGCGGTACTGGAAAATGAACTCGGGACCTTGCGCTTGCCAGGCAGGCGCTTAGATCGCTGAGCTATCTCCCCCCAGTCTGGCTTATTATTTTAAAACTTCAAGTTTTGTCTCCTCATGAAAATTATACATTTCTTGAGAAATTGTATCACTCATCAAATGTTCTTTAACAGTTATATACCTGCATACACATTTATATGTCCTCCATGTCATACTGCTAACCAGATTTACTTACATGATGAATTATTCAGATGTTGATCTCGAAGTGTGTGAAGTTCTCCAAGTAATTTATCCATTTTTTGTTTCTTTTCCTGTAGCACTCTCATTTTGCTAAAAAGTTTGACTTTCTCATCAGGTAAATGTTCTGAAACTGATGGATTCATGCTCTGGGAAACCTCCCTAGTTAATGAAAGACTTTCTGCCTGTCTTCTGTTGTCAGGGACTGCTGGAGGCTTATTAAAACGAACAAGCAAACAAACAAAAACAAAAAGACAAAGGCAATTGAAAATTTCTTTCTGATTTTAAACTACTTTAAATATAAGTATCTGTAAGAGAGACAAAATTTGCCTAGGTTGTACTGATAAATAGATGTTCTCTATATTTTAACACAGTCTCACTAAATTGCTGAGACTGAGATCAAACTTTAGATCCTAATGTCTCAGCCTCTCAGGGTTTTGGGATTATGCTACAGCACAATACCCAACATCTCTCATCTTTTCACTATTTGTCTTTTTGAGACAGGGTCTTGCTCAGTTCAGGCTGGCCTTGAGCTCACTTTATAGCCTGGGTTGGTCTCAAACTTGCAACAATCACCCTGCCTCAGCCTCCCAAGTGCTGGGATTACAGGTTTATACCACCAAGACTGGCTTCATTATCTTTGCAGAATCACAGCCATAAACTTCAACTTCCAGACCTACAACCCACATTCCTCTGCTCTTTGTTTTGTTGAGACTCGGTCTTACTGTGAGGCTAGCTTGAACCCACTATCAGCCCAGTATGCCCGTGAACTTGCAGTGGTCCTCCTGCCTCACACTCCTAAGTGCTGGGACTACAGACATGAACCACAATGCCCAGCTGTCCCTCTATTCCAAAAAAAAAAAGAAATATATCAAGAATACACTAAGGCTTAGGGACTTATTATATATAATGAATACCACTGAGCTTTGTCAAATTTTAACATTTTCTCATATTTGTATCTATTCTTTAAAAGAAAATACAACATTAGAACAATAGCTAAATGTCTGTACACATCTTTCCCAAACCACATTATCCTCTAGAGAAATAATCACAATCTAAACTTAGCTCATCCATCATTTTTGTACATATTTTTACTTTGTAATATCTGTTTGTTCATAAGAATTATAAATATATATAAATTAAGCATCTTTTTATTTGTTCATTTTTGTAGTCCTGGGAATTCAATCAAGGGCTTCATGAATGAAAGCACTCCATCCCTGGGCTACATTGTCAGGCCTAGTTATCTTTCTTAGTTTTTTCTTTCCTGTATTCTAGGGAAGAGTCTACAGGGTGTTCAGGATCTCACTACTAGATCAGACTCATAGTGATTCTCCTGTTTATAGCCTCCAAGTGCTGGGATTATGGGCATGTGCTACCATGCCCAGTCTCAACTGCCTTATCAGGGTGCCCCAAGGGGTGGGGTCAGCACAGCAGGCCCAGGGATAAAACCTCAGGCCCCTGAGCCTGCTTGCAGGTGTTTTAATCAGCTGAGCTATTTGGCAGGCCACTAGGTATCTTTCTTAAACTTAGCAGTTTCATTCATGAACTCTGGGTCATTTAATATAGTAACTACTACAACTACATAGAATTTCACTCTATGTATCATAATTCATTGATCTTCCTTCATGAAATGAAGAAACACTTATTTCTGTTGTTTTGTTACTAGCACAATGAGGTCATGAGCATTTTCATACCTATCTCCTTACAAACATTTAAAACCATATTTTTTCTTTCACTTGGTAAACAAGTAGATATACAACACTGCATCTTCAAGCACACTCATTTCCAATGAAGAGGTATTCTTTCTTATCCAAAACTCACGAATTATAAATTTGCATTTGCATCATTTAAAAAGTGTGTGAAATTAAAGTATTTATTAATTCTCAAGCAAGAATTTTCATAGAACTGCTGGTAACTGGTAAAACATTTAAGTCTTATTGTCTTAAGAGTTATGACTTCAGTTTTTACTGGAAAAATAATGTATTATTTAGTAGCATACGAAAGGAAAATTTCACTAATAATTTGAAAGTAAATCTCCTTTAATCTGTGCTTCCAGCATCCCAGCTGCTAGGGAGCCCAAACTGTAACTGAAGGAAGGAGTCACTGCTAACAAACTCCCAACCATTGTGCCAGATGACAATTATGCTTAGTCAGGTTTGAGGACCACTGTCTAGTTAATGCAACTGTAAGCTCAACTATACTAAAAAAAATTAAGTTACCTGAGAATCACGAAGTTGATTATGAAAACGCTGAATTAAATCATTCAATTCTTCATTTAGTTCAGATGTGATACTGGCTCCCGATAAACTACCTGTGGTTTCTGCAGCAACTGGAAAGGAAATTAACAGTTGTTTGTTAATATAAATAAGATGCTTTTTTAATTTCTGAGAAGCTAAACACAGACTTCTCAAAAAAATTTAACAATCTGAAACTAGTTAACCTTATGTACATGTACCAACTCTCCATAGTGAAAGTAATCATTATGTACTGCAAACACAAACTACAAAAACCAAAAATTTTAATAAACTCTCTGCTAATTTTATTAAAAGTTTCTATATAACCTAAAAATAGACAACTGAAAAACTCTAGTAGAGCGGCATACAAAAGGGAACAGTATTTACCTCAATTAATAATTATGACTGATGGAATGGTTAACGTGAGGGAATGGTGTGTAAAGCAACTGCCTGAAAAGAAGCAGCTGATTCTGACAGAGCTTAAGCTAGAAAAGTATGCTTAAAGGCTCAGATAATAAATGGGGTAGGTCTTCTGGGAAGTTTAGTTTCTGTCTCAACTACCCACCTCTGCCATTATATGACAAAAGCAAACATGGACAATATGCAAATGAATGGATACAGCTGTATACTATAAACTTTATTTCAGGCAGTGGGCTAAATCTATAGTTTGCTACATCTGCAATGCAACAGATAACTTACTGAAATAACTGTATACTACATGTCATACTAAGAAACCATAGATTTTAGCTTCATTAAAGAAAAATAGGTCTCATATTTCTAAAGCAGTTTTCTGAGGACAATTTTGGTAACAGTTGCTATCTACTATTCAACCACCACACACCCTTACCCTCAAGTCTCTCTAGTTCTAAAAGAAATACTGGCTACAAATTGTTTTCATTTTAAGAAAAACATTATCTTTCTTGAAAAATTAAAATTTTAGGGCTGACAGAATCATATGGATCTAGTCCAAATTCTATATGGAAAAAAAAGAAATTACAATACAGAAAACTAAAATGCAACTCTCCAAATGATGAAATAGTCTTTTCCATGACAATTACTTTGTCTCCCTTACATACTAAACATTATAATCCTAACTTCATCAATGTTATGGTTTGTCTCTGGGTGTCCCATCAAAGCCTCAAGCAATCATGGGGTAGATAAGAGCTTGAGATGAACTCATGATCCACTGGGATTATGGGTCTTAGTACTGATGGGATTATGGGTGTGAGTGCTACACCCAGCCTGAAGCAGATAGCCTGAATGTAATATAAGAGAGACAGACAGATTTCCTCTCTGTTGCCATTTGCTGCTGCTATTCCTCCATTTTGCTCTCTTGCTCTTTGCTGACACCATGAAAGTTGTTCTGTCATGTGCCAGTCTGAGATGGACCCGGTTGAATATGGACTGAAACCTCCATTAACTGTGAGCTAAATAAACCTTTCTTTCCTTCATTTTGAGTGTTGGGTATTTGTTCTAGCAACGAGAAGAGTAACTGAGACAATCAGTATTCCTCTACAAAATTTCTATAAAGAGCAACTGTTTTAAAGTTATCATATATAAATTTGAATAAATTCAAATTCCTATTCATTCTTTTACTCCAAATCATGATAGCACATGTTTAAAAAGAAATCATTTACTTTTTACAAGTTCACACTCAGAATTTCAAAGACCCCTAACCTAGAATTCAAGAGCCCTGACTGTACTAAAATTCTATACAAGTTTAGGCAAGTCAAACTATAAATTTATTCTCTATAATACAGGAATAAGAATAAAGTCTTTGCATACTAACCTAGAATTCTATATTGATTACGCGATTATATAAACGTACACCTGCTTAGCTACTAAAGGAAAGTCTTTAAAAATCTGATAATCCAAGCTGGAAAAATAATTGTTAGTCCTTATCAAACTAGTATTAGGCTTTATGTTAAAATATTTTAATCATTTTTCCTTAAATACCTATTTCCTAATTATATCTACTAATGATTCTTCAGATTTTATATGGAAAAAATGGTGATAAAAATCCACTAATTATTACTATATACAACTGTATCATATTTCAAGAGTAATTTACCTGAAAGTCATAAATTCCTTATGAAATTATAAAATTAAAGACTTACCAGTGATCGGAGTTGAGCCAATAGGCTTAGACATTAGAATAAATTCAGTTATTACTGAATAAAAGGAACTAACCTCACCAGCAAAAAATAAGAGTACTCAAGAAAAACTATCAATAGAATCCATTAACAGCAGATTGCTAAAATATGTAACTTAAAACTCAGCTGCTAGTAGGGTGTGTCATAAATTCATATTTTGTACCCCATAAATATACCTGATTATTTTTTGTCTATTCAAAGTAAAACTAAAAATAAAACTTAGCTTTGTGTTTTAATAAGTAACAATTTTATTTTTAATGTGATGAAAAATTGTAACACAGGTTTGAAGATAATAAAACATTCAATAAAATTAGGCCCAGAACTAATTCAACAGTTTTCACCTAAATAATACATAACTTTGAGAGAAAGAAGGAAAAAAAATGACTATTTGTGAATCTCAGAAAACCTAAATATATTGTATCTTAAAGGTACTGATACATAAAATTGAATCCTGAGGTAACAAGAACTACAAATTAACACGGCTTACAAATGATTCTCTATAAAGTTGTGGCCCCAGTTAAGATTCCTGACCCTTCCTTGGGAAGCAAGCAAAGAGCAACAATCCTAATTAATAAAATACAAAAAAATGGAAATAAGATTATCAAGAGCCCTATCAGTTTGAAGCTCAAGAACAGCACTACAACCTGTCCCTTTTACCTCTGGATATACTGTGACAGAAGAGGCAGGAGTCTGTTTGCTCAGTACAGTATGCCAGTGGTTTGTCCCTGCAACCTTTTCTGCGTAACCAGAAAAAAGTAAACGACATGGTAAGTCTCACATGCAGGTTTCTAAACTAGCCAGCAATCACAATCTGATTATATGGCATCCACCCTGCAATATAAATACTTACTGAGCCTTGCTTACAAGAACATTTTAAGAGTATAGCATACCAGAATCATCCATTACAGCAACAGCTTGCTCTGCTTTATGCTGTAGAGCCAGAAGAGCAGCTTGTCGTCCCTGCAAAGCTCTCAGTTGCTCCTGCTGTTGTAACATCCTTTTTAACAAATCATGCTGCTTCTTCAAATTCTCTATCTCTTCCACAGGCTCCTGTTCAGGATCTCTGGCCTGAAAAGTATGACCAATAATGCTTATGACTATTAAAATCCATGTCCTTGTTTTAACTATCAATAACATGTATATACACAGATAATAAACTGGTAGTAAATATATAACCCCAAGTAGAGTTTTAGTAGATCTGAAGAAAAAGAAATAAAAATAGAATGATCACATAGAGATAGCTTACCACATTAAGTGTTAGGTAATTTCATAGTAAAACATCATAAGCAATGGCTTATAATGAATTTGAAAGAGAAAAAGATATTTGAAATAGAAGATAAGTTGAACAGCAAAAAGAGTTTCACACAATATACATAAAAATATGAGTCCCAATCCAGTTCCTATAGAAAAGCGGAAGCAGATTATGCTGGGTAAGTATCCTGAAAATCTCTGTAAAAAAGACAAAACTAAGAAACTTTGAGCCCCACCCATTAAAGTATGTTAAAAACACATAGAAATCAAACAAACCCTTTCATTTCTAGCCAAGAACAGCACATTGTAAAAATGTACTTTAAAACTATGACGTAAAAAGCTTTAACTATATATACTACTGGACATACAGCAAAGCTGAAGATTTTGTATTTTTAGAATAAATATCATTACTATTTTTACTTTTCAATTATGTGTATCCAGCTGTGTGAGTACACAAAACAGAAGTAAAAACTTCCCAATTCCCTCAAAATACTGCTTAGAAGTAACATATTTGAAAGATATTACTTAAAAGAAATTATCAATTTTAAATGTTTATATCCTGGGCTGGTGAGATGGCTCAGTGGTCTAAAGCACCTACTTAGAACAAGTTTAGCAAAACACAGGGACCGCGGTTCAATCCCCCAGCACCACATGCCAGCCAGGCCCGCCCCCTGGTGGGCTGAGCTGGCCACACACACACACACACACACACACAAATAAATAAAAAAAAATTAAAAAAAAATTTAAATGTTTATATCCTAAACCTATTCTGGTGGCATGTTCGTTTTTGGTCTTTTTTGGTTTTACTGTATTTTTTTCGCTCAACTATTTTTTAGGGGAGGTTTATTTTTTATTTTTGATGCCAAGGATCGAACCCAGGGCTTCCAGCTTGCTAGGCAAGCACTCTACTGCTGAGCTAATTCCCCAGCCCCCCTAAACCTATTCTAAATGTAAGACAATAAGAAAAAAGAAAAAACTAAAGTCACAAATTTAAATTCAACCTGAAAACAAATTATGAGCTAAATTATGTATGAAATATTTTCAGTATTGATTTACCATTAAATTTTTTTTTAATGTAAGGGCAATGTGAACAACACAGTGGTAAAATGCTTGCCTAGTATTTTTAAAGCACACACAAAATTTTGTTCTTTTTGTACTTAAGTCTATTTTCAGTTTCCACTAGTAATATTTTTATTGCAGTTACACAGATTTTTAATGAATAATTCCCCCCTAAAATTAACAAGGAGAGTAAAAGTTCAATGATTTCCTCTGAAAGAAAAATGTACCGATCTACTTTCCCTGTAGTCATTTGATTCTTGCAAAATTATGGTGCACACAAAAGGTTCAAAACGTTTCTTTCTGAGCTCCTGTCCCCTTGCCAATACTAGCCAAAAGCCACTTCACTTTCTTCCCCAAATAGAACTCATTACTACTTCAAGAACAAATAAGCATGAAAACATTTTACAATATGACTTGAAAATCAAAATAACTAGTAAACGAACAACAACAAAAATCACATGCTTGCAGTTAAGTAGTCAAGAGTGTTAAAATGAAATAGGAAGTAGATCATGCTGAGAATATTTGATTTAAGTCTGAGCCAGGAGCCCATCTACCATTCCTGGATTATCTCTAGACTTCATGACCATGACACAGACGTAATCTACCTTATCATTTATATTTTTTATATTTATATTTATCCCTGTCAGAATTCAACCTTTCAGTTCTGCCTTATTTGAAGACTGTTTACATCTTGGAAAAAAACTAAAGGATAAGTATAACATACCTAACTCTCTAATTTGATGGAAAATAATCCTATAATAATTTCACATTGGTAAACTGTATGACCAGATGAAAACAGGGACACATCTCAGTGGAGCAACTCAGAGAAATGTCTTCAGGTTGATGTCAATAAACACACATTCATACTCCTTTGGCAAAGTACAAATTTACAAGCATTCTACAAATAAAAAATCATCTGGAAATAAGACCCTCCAAGAATGCTTCTTTTCACCTAATTTATAATCCTTTTACCTCTTCAAAATAGTTTAGACTCCAGGTTATGCTCAAACTATCTAGGTTTAAAAGGTCTACCTACTCCCAAACTAATATTACAAATATTCTGCCCTTTAAAAATCTTTAATCCCTATCATTAGCATTTATTTCCAGAAGTATAACACCCTAATTACACAGAATACTATTTGTTAAAATAAGTATAATCATGTTCAGGTTTTTCACAAACCCAATAGTGAATTCCCAACAATTTTTAAAGTTAGTGGAGTTTACTGCTTTTTCTTAACTTTTGCATCCATACAAATAGTATTTCAGACTCAGAAAAGCTAAACCAAGGGAGGAGGTGAGGACTATGATCAAACACACAAAAAAAAGGAAGACAAGAAAATGGAAGTAAAAATATCTAGAAATAAGATGGCTACCCATGGTGTTTTCAATACAAATCCAAAAAGGAAACCAAGATTATAGCCATCCTTCAAACACATACTTTAAAATTTTTCTAGATTACCCTTACCGACATTTTAGTTCACAGATTAAAAAATAATAATTTAAAGGGTTGGGAGATGGCTCAGTAGAATAACTGCTTCCCTGGCAAGTGCAAGGGCCCGAGTTGAATCCCCGGTTCCGCTCCCCAAAAGAATTTTAGGCATAAAAACCAGAAGTTCTGTGTGTGTGTCTGTGTGTGTGTGTGTGTGTGTACGCCGATGAGATGGCAGACTAAGTATTTGTGTAGGCAAATGCAGGGACTGGGGTTTGATCCCCAACACCACATGCCACACCGGCCCTGCCCCTGGGTGCACTGAACTGGCTACCAAGACCGGGCATGTTGGTGCACGCCTGTAATCCTAGCACTGGGGAAGCTGAAAACAAAATGACCACTATGAGTCCGAGCTGCTTAGTGAGATCCTATACCAAATACATTAAAAAAAATAAAATTACAGTAACTTTTCCATGGGATTACAAATATAAACTTCCTGTGCCACAATGAGGACTGGAAAGGGCTCTCTATACTCGTGGAAGGCTTTTGTAATATTACCCAAAATGTCACTATGTCTATAAAATAAACATCAAGCAGAATTTGCCTTTATATAGCCAGTGTTAGAATATCAAGCAGCATCTCTCAAGGTTATTGTCAGCTCTGAAAACAGATAAGACCTCAACTTCTATTTTGAAAGGATTCTGAGGAGGGAATGGGGAAAAGGTTATGAGTATTACACATTATGTAGATCACAGAAAAAAACAGTCAAGTGGTGATCTGGCAGAAATTATGCTGTAGTAACTGTCAACTCTTAAGTTTTGTTTGCTACTATTCAGAAGAATTAAACAGAAAGACAACAAATTTCAAAAGATGTCTATTACTCTTCATATTTACTTTCTCCCCACCAAAGCTACCAGGTTTAAAACAAAAACAGTTCTTTTATTCTTCTATTAAACTAGTGCACATTCCGCTTAACACTATACAACAGGATACCTAACAAGGTTTTTAAACTACGTCCTTAATTTCTTGTGGGAGCTAGAAAAAAAAAAACCAGAAACACAAACTGCGACAGTAGTCATTTTTCAATAGTTACGAAAATATAAAATATGTACAAAATACAAAAGAAGCATCAATCCCACAAAATAATAAAACATGAAATTACTATCTATAGCAATTAAAATAGTACTTTTCCATTGCCAACAGGATATAGTTTTACTAACACTAACACTATTTCATTCAAACTGTTATAAAAAGAAGTATACAAATAGTTGTCTTTGAATTTATCTTGAATGCTTTCATATAGAACATCAGCCACTGAAGGAATCCAGCAAAATAATTCAAATAAGTCAAATGAATAATTATTTTTCAAAAAAAAAGGGAAAAGGTTTTGAACAGCAACAAACACATAAGCCAAAAAAAGCATAAAAGTATTTCATTTTTTAAAATATAAGGAAAGCTAATAGCTTGCTCTATTTTTTCTCTAACAAATGACTATAAGAAAAATAAGTTTTATTTGAATGCATGCACCCTAATATTGCAAACAACTGTAAGACAATTCCAGGCTTCAGAATGTATTACACATATTTTGACAGCAAAACAAGGAACGAAATTATTTCCTTTGTTAATCATCTTTCAATTTCTTAATATAAATTAAAATCAGCTATTACATTTAACCCATGGAGCAGTATATATGAAAGCAAAAAGAACATCAGTAAGGTACAGTTTTTTGGTTTTTGTTTTTTTTTTTTTAAGGGAAGGGTCTACAGGGTGTTTAGGGTCTCGTCTCACTACTAGATCAGACTCGTAGTGATCTGCCTGTTTACAGCCTCTCAAGAGCTGGGATTACAGGCGTACGCCACCACACCAGTCTCAAGGCACATAATTTTACTAAAGCGAATTATAATACAATAATTAACCATGCCAATAACATATATATTTAGAGTCATAGTAACAAAAAAGCAAGTAAGTGACAGGAAACATGAACAAAAGAAATACTCCCAAGTCAGACTTCCCAAGTTAATATTATGAAGTATACCTATGAGGGAAATCCATGCTTTTATGGATTAGGCCTCAGTTCCCTGTCATTGTGAGGAGGTCTGTTACCTTTCCCCTTTGGACTTGTTGTAACATCAATGTCTGAAACCTGTTTTTGTGAGGCTGAATTCCCTAGTTTGTCCTCAATGCATGGCCAAATTCTTGGACTAAAAGATGCCTCCTTTATTAAATAGTGTTACATATAAATTTCTTAACAGAATTCCTGCTTAACATAAATATTATAAATAAACACAAAACTTTCCCAGGTCCTCCTCCTTTAAAAAAAAAAATCTACTCTCCCACACCTAAGTGGCAGCAAGATCAGACTTGCAATATTTACATGCTAAATTGTTGCTTATTAGTGATCATATCCAAGGCAACTTCCAAGCTACACAAAATGGCTAGAATATAATTTAACATTTATTCTGCTACGTACTATTAATAAATGATATGATATTATGAAAAATTTTCAGAATGGTAAACACTTTAGATGCTAGTACGTATGTTATAATAACTGGCTATGCCATTTCCCACCCCTTCTTGACAAATTCCTTTACCCATATTGTTCTAACACTTTCATCTTCTGCTGATATGTAAGAAGTAAATTATTCCTGGCAACACTATAACTAAAAAGACAAGTGCCCCACAGTAGAATCCACTCTTCAACAACTGTTTGGATCAAGCCCTATGAGTATTTCCTGGTAAAAATAAGGAAGAGAATAAAATTCAAATTATATCTACAAACTAAGAAGGTCATGGAAAAGGAGGTATTTAAAACTGCACAGACCAATTCTAAAAGGAAACAAACCCTCAAATTCCTTGCTGAACAGTACTGTTAGTAAAACCTCAAAAAACAAAGTGGATACATGGTTATCCTTTAAAAAGAAAAATTTTCTGGTAATAAGTTTTGAAGTTTACTATTGCAAATGCATGCTATTCTACAAAGCTTTCATCAAAAAATTTGAAATTTTTATTTTTCCAAAGGATATTATTTGCGGAAATTTCATTCTGCAGTTAGAAATCATAGTATTTTTCTCATATTGAATTAAATAAAAATGTAAACGCGATCCTATACTATTTACTAGTCTTTATCTCATTTTTTAGTCATTTGGTTTTCCTATAGTACTAAACTACAACCTGAGAAATGAAAAAATACAAAGACCCTTAAAATGAGCCTTCAGGGGCTCATGAACAGATTTCTCTAACATACTATATGTCTGGCAATCGCTGGTATCATCAGTGATTACCAATAGCCATTAAAGTCACAGTGAATTTTTTATTTCCCCAGTGCTTCTCAAAATTAATAAAGTTTGATGAAACAAACTACAAAAACACTAAGTTCAAAAATTACTAAAAACTATTTTTAATGTTAATAAACAAAACTTCCATGTTTAAAAATGTATTACAGGGGCTGGGGAGATGGCTCAATGGAATAAGCGCTTCCCTGGAAAGCACAAGAGTCTGAGTTCAATTCCCAGTTCCACCGGAAAAAAAAAAAAAAAGTATTACAGCATTAATAATTTGAGGGTTTCTTCCCTGAAATACACTTTTCATTAAGGAATACCTATAAAATATTATCCTAAAAAAGGGAGGAGAGTTTAAATCTTCATTTCTATCACTTTAATTACCAAAAAGCCGCTTACCGTGGTATCTGAAGCCTCAGACCGCACATCTATGTTTAGCGATGTGCTCTCAGCTACAGAACCAGATCCCACAGCTGAATCTATAGTCCGAACATCCTCCTCCTCATTTTCTCTAGCCTGAAATATTTTAGTGGTATAAATCATACAACTATTAAAAAGGGCAATAAAATGTTATAATGGATGGCACGATTTTTTAAAAATGTTACCTCCTCTGGGTGGCATCAGAATGTCATCAGTATGTCTACACAGGCAAATTACAAAAGTAATTCAACATGTTATTAAAAAGTCTAAAACTTACAAGGATTTTTTGGAGAAATCTCATGTATGATTTTTCTTGTTCTTTAAGGTGATCTATTAGATGAGTAAGACGCTCAACATTAGCAGATCTTTCATTTTTCTCTACAAGATCTTCTCGCATGGAACTGGCTTTGGTAATATAGTCACGAATTTGAACAAGCCTGCTTACAATCTGCAGAGAAAATACAAAAAAGAAAATTAAGAAGTGGGCATGGTAGTATACCTCTGTAAACTTGGCACTCTGGGAGGCTGAGTGATGCAAGTGAACTTCAAGTTCAAGCCCAGCTTGGGGCAATTCTAATGACTTTGCAACTATACCTTGTCTCGAAAAAATAAAAGGCTGGAGATACAGCTCAAAGTGAAGGCCCTGGATTCAATCTCTAGTACTAAAAAAAGCAAAGAAAAGCAGAGGGAAAAGAAGAGAGGGGAGAAAGCAAAAAGAAGCACAATAATATACAAATGTAAAATTGAGCATAATTAAATTGCAACAATTTCACAGATTTTTATTTCAATTAGAATAACCCCAAACAAGTCTAGGTTTATCATATGGATGCATACACGTAAAAAATCTGAATCACATTTCGATTTTAACAAAAACATAAATGTCAATACTAAAAACTCCAACTAGCATCAATTTAAATTTCAAAATACCTTTATATGAACATTTTTAATAAAACTATACCAAAGCATTTTAATATAAAATTTCCTAATATTTACGTATTTCTTTATAAATAATTAAAAGTATTATACTTTTCAAAATAGTACCACCATTTAAAAAATTTCTTGTGAAAGTCTACTAATCATGTTGCTTCTAATGCTCTTTACTAAAATTTAGCAATATAATATTTAGTTTTGGGCAAATGCGAGAACCTGAATATGGTACTTTTCCAATCATTTGGAAGTTTTGAAATTCTGCTTTATTTATTTATTTATTTATTTACTGGATACAGGGTCTCAATATGCAGTTCAGATCTGAAGTGACCCTCCCATCTCAGCCTTTCCAGGACTGGCATTACAGGCGTGCATCACCATGCCCGGTTTCCGGGCCTGCAGTATGGCATGCCCAGGGTTCCAGGGCTGGCACAGCACACAGTATCGAGGATCAAACTCAGGTCTTTGGCCTTGCCAGGCAGGCACTTAGACTGTTGAGTTATTTCCACAGACCTAAAATCCTGTCTTACACCTGACAGATTAATGAAGAGGGCCCAGGAAAGAGTTTACTTGTACCTAAATAAAACTGCTATGTGTATAAACTAATTTAATTTTTAAATCTTAATGTTTATATTCTTGGATTTGTGAAATCAAGCAAAATATTTCACTACCTGGCTGCTCTCCATTGCAGGCTCTCCTCTTCCATCTTCTTCAGAGATCTGGTAGCTTTGCAAAAGGTCATTACTTAATGCAGAAGCAAACAACTCTTTACATTGTGCTGATCCAAGCTTTTCTCTCTTTTGAAGACTCATAACAGCATCTTTGCTCTTGTTAGTATTAATCTGCATAGGCAAAAAGTTGAAGGGCTTTCGGTTTTCACTAGGCTGACGTTTGTTGTTAGCAGCTGTTGCTCTTCCTTGAGAATCACTTCCAATGCTTCTCTATATATAAAAAAGAAATCAAATCACACAATCTTTTCACAAATTAAAGTAATTCCAAAGTTCTTAGTTTCACCATGAGATATTTCAGGAGGTATGCATGAACAGATTTTAATAAAATTTCAAAAAGCTTCAGATCTACAAAATTCTTTTACTGAAATATCAAAATTAGATTAATATTTCCTACTCATTTTGTAAGACAATTAAAACATGAAGAGAATTAGTTTAAGTACTAGTACTATGGGCAGCATTTATAATTCACACTGCTATTTGTTGCTTGCTTACAAAGTTTTTATAGTCTCTGGACCCAATCAACATAAAGATTTGGAGGCACTGTTTGCAAAAGTATCTGATTTAGTATCTGGCATACATGCACATGACACCTAATCATATATATCACCACTGTCACATTAGCCTTGAAGGTACTTTCAGACTTCAGTATAGAACAGTACTTCTACATATGTGAAAACTAGTTCATCTCTCCAAGAGCAAAGGTAACAATAAAATATTGTTTAATAGTGCATTATCTGCATGTGTAAACATCACATTATCTACAAGAGATATTGTGAAAGGGACAGAAACTGCTCAAAAAGAAAAAACTGAGATGAAGGAAAGGAGAAAAAAAAAAAAAGAAATATATAAATAAATGATAGACAGTTAAGATAATTGTACTACTAAGTTGTATTAGTTTATGGAAAGGAACAGTTAATGCTTAATTTTTTAAACAACTTTGCATGTTTATATCTGGTAATCTCAACAATTACTATGAAGATAATAATATACAACATAACAACCACTTCTGATTTCATATCATCTGGAAATTCTGTAGTGTTCAATGTTTTACTTTTTATTCTCTTTAAGAGAAAAGAGATTATCATTTCTATTTGCTTTTAGATCTAAACTTAATTTCAGTGAATATAAATACAAAAGTTTTATTTTGAATTTGAAGTAATTCAGCACATTCCACACTTAATATACTAAATTGGAAACTTCTTTCTAGTCACGTCATAACAATCTCATTCAGTTAGCAACATTAACAGTTTTATAATGAAATAATTTAAATTAGCTATTAGCATAGTAAGAAAATCCAGAAAAATATGCCTTTGGCAAGTTTACAAATATCTAAGACTTTGTTTTCCACCAAAGGACAGTACTTTTTTTGTTTGTTGTTTTTTTGCGGAACCAGGGATTGAACTCAGGCCCTTGTGTTATTCCAGTGAGCCATCTCTCTGGCCCTGCAAAGGACAGTATTTTGATCACTGATTAAAGTTCTTTCCATATGCACAGAAAGAAACTTTAAAACAAACTAAGCAGCTCAATCGTTTACTCTAAAGCAAACTACCTAATCCATTTCAGTAGTCCTGCAATTGTACCTTGACTTTCCAAATAATTCACAAACCTGATCTAAATCACTGAAGTTGATGCGCTGTTTAAGTTTCTCTAACTCTGCCTGCTCTGGGACAGACATCTGAGTCATGTATCTACTGTGGGGAAATGTATGTGGAGTCTTTGTTCTTCGCCTTCCAACTCCTGGTGATGACTCCGGAGAAATATCATTAGTTACTCTTTTATCACTTTCTACACCAAACTTTTTCTTATTCTTTTCCGATGATCTATTTGCCTTTTTCTGTTGGCTACCCCAATCCTTAAAAAAAAGAAGGAAAAGCAAAGTTAATCTGCCCTCTATTGAACCACGAAGAAAAAAAGGTATGCTTAAAACACTGATCAAGATTTAACTGGTCATCTTACAATTAAAGTGACAAGACTTTTTTACATAAACATACATTTTTAATGACATTTATAGTAACTATTTTTCTCTTCATTAAATCTATCCTAATGTCCTAGCCTATCCTTAGAAAACATAATAATTTCCCATTATACAGATAAGTAACAAATATAAACTCCCAAATCTCAACCCTAAACTTAATCTAAATATTCTCAATGCCCTTTAGAAATTGTTTTCTACTCATAAATTTACTGGATTCCTGTACAAAAAAAGCAGACAGACCTAAAACTGGCCTGGGAGCTAAAATAATTATTGTTTTCTAAAGAAATACACCACTGTGTGACCCTAGTCAATTTATCTAACTTCCTAAGCTCTATCTTCTAATCTCTAAATAGTGTTATCTTTGAAACAGATTTAAAAATAACATAAACATCTAAAACAATACCTAGTATTTAATAAGCAATAATTGTAACTATTATTATTTTATAGGCAAAGATATACATGACAATATTCAGTATATGACAAAAAAAGTTTAATATTTCAACTAGAAAACCTATTACTTAATTATACCCACCTAATCTAATTCATTGACCAAAAAATCTAAAAATTTTTACTTTATTTCTACCAGAAGATTTTTAGTTACTATTTTAATAAAATCATATTTTTATTTTTATTTATAACAAAACATTCCTTTATGAACTGGCCTTCCTCCCCAATCCATGTGTGAGTGTTCCTGCTAAATTTAAATAATACCCCTTCTTGGCCAAAGATGACTGGAAAAGAAATGCATCTCTAATCCAAATTAGAATATTTTAAAATTCAAATTAGAAACTAAAAGATAACTAGTCTGTATACAACTGTAGTTTTAACTGAAAACTTTAGGATAATGGGACACTCACACTTTTTTTTTTTTTAAATGTATTTGGTACAGGGTCTCACTATGCATCTTGGATTAATAGTGGTCCTCCTGTTTTCCCTTCCCCCCAGCACTGGGATTACAGGAATGTGCCACTTGGCCCAGGCCACCAGGCCAATCTCTGCAACCAGCTCAGTGCACCCAGGGGTGGGGCCAGTGCGGAATCTGGTGCTGGAGATCAAACCCCAATCCCTGCGCTTGCCTAAGCAGGTGCTTAATCTACTGAGCTATCTCACTAGCCCTTCACATATATTACATGGACCAAAAAGGAAAAAAAAAAGCAGTCAAGTTAGAGTAATTTTCAATAGCTTTCTAGGTCTTTTTTCCAGTCCCTTCCTAAAACTCTTTATCACAGTTTCCGTATTAAATATGGAATTTAATATAAATTCTTGTATTAAATTTCCTTTTCAGTAGAAACTAACTCAAGTTGATTTCTCTTAGTAGCAAACCAAAATGTCTTCAACTAGTAATCAAGAGCCTATGGTCCCTTAATAAGTTAGCTCACAGCGTTTACAAAGACTTTTAGTAGTTACATTTAGAAAGAAAGTTGCACTTTAACATTAGCAGTCAACAATACAGCACACCATCAGTAGTAAGCTATTATACCATATTGTTGAGTCGGTCATCAATACTCTCATTGCTCCAGTTTGGTAAATCCTGATCATTCATGCTTTCTTCAAAAGGTCCACCTCCTGTGGCCATACTGGTTTTTAACAATTAATTTTCTGCAAAACAATAAAAAATATGCTTTTTAAGATATGGAACTTCAATTTTTAAATACTCTCATAAAACAAAAGTACAAATAAATCTCTGAAGCACTAATTTTATGAAATAAAGAGGCACTGTTAACCATATGTCACAAATTAATTTAGTGGCTATTACACTATTACATTAACACGAATTAAGCAGCTGGAGTGATGGTAGAAGGAAAAAAAGCTCTATCCAAAATATACACTGGCCTGCATTTTTCACAGTCCTAAAAGGTAGAGTAATAAGGGAGAAAAACATTAAACAGAACCAGAACTCCAAACAAGGAAAGCATCTCTATTCTGATAATGAATTTGGAATATTTTTTAACTGATATCCCAATAATAGGGGCATAAGTTTTAGGCCAAAGATCTAGGAGTTCTAAGTGCTCTGATGAAACAAAGGGAGAAGAAAAAGATATCAGTAATGCTAAGTAAGATGATGAGAAGGTGACCACAGAGACGCAGATCAAAGTGTGGAGAAGGGTCAAGAAAATCCAAGAGGGGTTGGGGAGATGGCTCAGTGGAATAAGCACTTCCCTGGCAAGCTCAAGGGCCTGAGTTCAATCCCTGGTTCTGACCAAAAAAAAAGAAAGAAAGAAAGAAGAAAATCCAAGAGTGAACAGGCTAAAAAGATATTAAGAAAAATGATGCCTATATCCCTAACTCATAGTTCTCCCACTCATGCTAAAGTTCTACCACAAATTTCCTCCAGTTGAATGTTTCTTCTACACATGAAAGTAAAGGACAAAGCAACAGTGAAAGAGGTTCAGAAGGAAAAATGTTCATAAGAAAAGATTTCTACATTTTCTTGTGGAGGACTGTGGATTTCTCCCAGCTGTAAAATTCTACACATTGGAGGAAGGACAAGTAAAAAAGAGGTTGGGATAATTTTATATAAAATTCAAGGGACAGAAAAAGACATCAGATTATTAATAAGACAATATTTAGAAGAGTTACATAATTTTATAAAGGTCATTCAGTTATAAGGGCAAAAAATGAATACAAATCCAAACTGCACTGACTCGAAGATCCCAATCTATCACTTTTGGTATAGCACAACAAAGGATTATCACCCACAGCCAAGCAGATTTGTTCCATGGATGTTTAAATTCTAGAATTTTTTTTATTACATTAAAAGATTACACAGCAAGTTCAATTTTATCAGTTCAAAATAAAAACTGCTATGAAAAAATCCAACATCATGCTAGGGAGATGTCTTAGTGGAATAAGCGTTTCTCTGGCAAGCGCAAGGGCCCGAGTTCAATCCCTGGTTCTGCCAAAAAACAAAACAACAACAACAAATCCAACATAATACTAATTCGAAAAAAATCTTAGAAAACACAAATACACTGATATTTGCTCACAATATTTTAATAGTTTCTATTTTTTAATGAGTGTATGTTACTGTAATAATTCTCTGAAGAGTTGAAGAGTAGTTAATCTTAAACAGTAAATCTTAAATATTTAAAATACGATAGACAATTTTATTAAAATAAGAACAAGATAGGAAGGCCACACAAAAGTTACTTAACAATGTTTCTAAAGTTCAATCAAGCAGAAAAATATGAAACAAACATTATTTTAAAAAGTGGTATCAGGCTGGCAAGATAGCTCAGCAGACCTGCTTAGGCAAGGGTTCGATTCCTGGTCCTGCATGCCTGAGCAGATGAGTGAGTACGAGCACGATGGCACAGGCCTGTAGTCCCAGTGCTGGGGAGGCTGAAAACAGGATGATCACTATGAGTCTGAGCTGCATAATGAGACCCTGTACAAATACGTAAATGAAGAAAAAAAAGTGGTATCTGAAGATTTAAAAGAACTTCAAAAGTCACCTAGTGCTACTTTAAAAATATAATTACATCACTTATAATAGAGACAAAAATAAAAAATATCTGGGGATATGACTTTGTTGCTTGTGAAAAAAACTATGCAAATGCTAATGAACAATATAAGAGAAAATCTGAAAAAGGAAAACTAAAAATTGCAAATATCTCTTTTAAAAATATATTGGCTTGATATAGTTCCAATAAAAATCCCAGGACCAGGGATGTAGCTCAGTGATACAGTGCCTTCCTGGCAAGTACAAGGTTATCAATTCGATTCCTGCTACAAAAAAATAAATAAATAAATAAACAACAATCCTAACGTGATTCAAAATGTATTCAAATTTCAGTATCCAAAATGATATTGAAATTAATTTGGAAGCATAAATCTGAAAAAAATTTAATATCTGGAAAAGAATAGCAGTTACAGAAGCCAGTTATAAATTAATCCAAGCTACCTAGCCGTAAGTATTTAAATAGCAAAAACTGGTAATAACTGAAGAAAATCTTCAATTTACCCAATTACAAAAAGGTAATTGCTACTAACATTTATTTTACTATATGACAAGCACCATCTTAAGCATTCATTTTACAACCATTATATTATTCTCTGCTGACAATTCTGATTGGACAACATGCTATTTTTTAAAAGATTTATATAGCATGCTGCAAACACATACTAGCAAAAATTTTAAATAAAGATTTATTTAGAGCCCGAACAGCTTTAACTGACACTCTTTATTTCAATCATGGAACACGGAAAAATGACTTGCATTACTATTTTCTGTTATTAAGTTATGTTTTTAAATCCATTCTATTTTGTTTGTCTTATTTGAATTTTTCTTTCTTTCTATTTTAATCTAGCATTATTTTTAAGTAGTATTTTACTCTTGGCATTATGGTATAAACAGCCATTATCTAGTTGAAGAAATTTAAGCTTTAGTATTAAGTGAGAATTAACTTTTATATGGGTGGTACTTGGATGTGTGATCCTAATCCCTTCCATTAATCTGAAATGCTAAGCTGGAGGGAAGTAAGATATACAAATCAAAAATAAATATACCACTCTATCTGAATCAATAAAACTTACACTATACCAAGTACCAAGTATGATAGTAGGTCTATTTTATGGTAGTTACATATGACATAAATGTTTGGGGGTTTTTTTGGCGTGTGTGTGTGTGTGTGTGTGTGTGGTACTGGGGATTGAACTCAGGACCCTGCACTTGCCAGGCAAGCACTTATTCTACTAAGCTATCTCCCTGGCCCCCAAATGTATTGATTTTTAATTAAAAATGTTTAATAAAAATTGTACATTTTAATGCAGTACCACACAGTGTAATGTTTAAATGAGGTTAACATATCTTGCTCCTCAAAATTATCATTTCTTTATGGTACAATTCTTTTTAATAATTACTTATGTAGAACATTTTTATACTAGCAAAATTTGTTTAATATATCCTTACTTTCTACAAAAGTAAATGTAAACTAGGTATGATGGCACATGCGTATAACAAGTTTAAGGCCAGGCTGAACTACATAGGGAGGCCTTGGGGAGGGGAAGGAAGGGAAGGGGAACGGAGGAGGAAGGCAGGCAGGCAGGCAAGCAAATGCAAACCCTGAGGTACATTTATTTTTCAATGTATAAAAGTATCCTTGCTAGAACCTCTTCCTCCATATAAGCATATTCAAAAAAAAAAAAAAAAAAGCAATTGTTTCCTTATCCTTAACTACATGTTTCTCCCAAAGCAAAATCAATAAACTTTGCTACTGCCTTCAAACTCAAAGCTCTACAATTCGATTCTATTCCATACTCACTGGTAAAAGCTTCTTCTACCTCAACCTTGGGACTTTTACAAACTTGCTATTTAACTTCCATCCATTCCTATACATTCCCTAAAGTCTCAAATCTCTCTAAAAGCACCATTGCTAAATAATTATTTCTAAAATAAGATGCTAAGGGCCAGCGAGATAGCTCAGCAAACTGAGCATCTGCTTAGGCAAGCACAGGGACTAAGGTTCGATCCCCCACACCAGATGCCAAGTCAGCCAACCCATCTACAAAGACAGGATCACCAAGGCTGGAAGTGGTGGGGCACCTGTAATCCCAGTGCAGGGGAGGCTGAAAACAGGAGGATCACTACAAGTCCGAGCTGCATAGTAAGACCCTGTACCAAATACATTTAAAAAAAAAAAACAAGCTACTCCTCCTCTCCTTGATTCACAGAAAAAGCATACCATCCGAGGACCGTTTTTATTTAATTAATGCTTAATCTTTTGTCTTTTGGAAAATTAGCTATCAAAAATATCATTCTCTATATTGACTGGGCATCATTTCCTTCCTATTGTCCTACCTCACATCGTCCTGTTCCTTGACTAAAACTGTCTCCTAATTTCAGTCTTCAAAATCACTCCCTGCTTTTAGGAAGAGAAGATAGGCAGTTATCTCTCAAAGATTCTGGTCTCAAGCCCACTGTTCTTTCATCTTCTTTATTGTTGTACCTTTTCACTCTGGGTTAGTAATTTGTTCAAGGTCCTGAACTGCTGGAAATCCACTTTTGATCATAAATTCTTGCATTATACTTCTCTGTCTCATTTCTGCTGACCTTTCTGTTGCCCTCCAGTTAATCACTATTTTCTCCTTGAATTTATTTCTTATGCAAACTCAAATATAAAGCCTATGAGCCATTCCAGAAATGCAATGCTAGCATCCTTGACTTTCTTATCAATTTGCCCAATTTAGTTAATTTCAGGTAAACCAACTAGCTGGCTTTCTTTACTTCTACTTTACACCAGCAACAATGGAGGAATAATCATAATAACAACAGTGTCCACTGTTCAGGTATGTTATATTCTATTAAGGTATATTATATTCTCTCTCCTTGTCTCTCTCTCTCCTCCATGAAATATAGTAAATGTTTGTGTTCACTGCCCTACTTACAGTACAGTTATTACACAGTACATTGGAGGCACTGGAGTCTATTAAATGTACTGCTTACTATGTGTTTCTTACTTGCCTCAAATTCCTTAGCATGATTATTCCAAACCATTTGTAGTTTTTTTAAGTCTCAAATCCACTCCCTCCTTCAGAAAAGGCCACATCCCCTATTAAGAAAATCAACATTAACTTTTGATTCCTTATATCTTCTTCTCTAATGTGCTAAAAAGAAAATCATTTTATAACCAACTTGATAAATTATTTCACTAAATGCTTACTCATAAGCAATCACCTAACGCTTTAGAAACTCTGATATACTCACTTTCAATCTTACTGGAGTTCCATTTTTTCACCTACATTCCATTCCTATTGTTCTACTTTGTTCTACAGTCTTACAGAACGCTCCCCCCACAAAAAAAAAAAAAAAACTACTGAGAAATATAATTCACATGCAAACCAACTATCAATTTGTATTTTCTCAGAATAGTTTCCGTCTCTTAAAAGAAACCTGAAAATCTGCTTTTGTAGAAAATCAAGGGCTGGCCAAATAGCTCTGTGGACTAAAGCACCTGCTTAGACAAGAGTGCAGGGACTGGGGTTTGATCCCCAGCATGCTGTGCTGGCCCTGCCCCTGGGGTTTCCCTGAGGTGACAAAGACTGGATATGGTGGTACCCCCTGTAATCCCAGTGCTTGGGAGGCTGAAAACAGGAAGATCAGTAGGACTCTAATCTGTGTAGTGAGACCCTGGAGTCCCTGTACTAAAATACATTAAAAAAGAAAGAAAATAAATCAAGAATGGGGGCCAAGGAAATAGCTCAGCAGCATAAGCACTTGCTTGGTAAGTGCCAAGGTCCTGAGTTCAATCCCCAGTACAAAAAAACAAAAACAAAAACAAAAACAAAACAAACAACAAAAAACCCCCAGAAAAATCAATGTATTGAACAAATTTTGAAAATAATCATAAATTTTTAACAGAAAATTATGATTATTTCATAACTTTAAAAGAGCAATTATGTCTAAAATGCATTTAACATAATTTCTTCTCATTTTTATCTTATATTATTCACTTTCTAAACTGCCCTTAACAATAATATAACCTTTCATCAGTAAACTTGCATTCTCCAGCACTAGCTTTTAACATGTGGCAATACATTATACACAAAAAATAATGTTCAAATTAATTTTAATCAACTAAAAGAGCAGTCAATTGTAGACATAACAAACTTAAAAAGTAGGAAGTTCATAAAAAACAAAGCCAATTATTGTAACAAAAATGTGAAGGAGATAGCCTGAGATTATGTGGATTACAAAGAGGAGCTATGCACTTGTTTTTTTTAAAAAAAAATATTTATTTTTATTTATTACATTTATTTGTGTGTGTGTGTGTGTGTGGCCAGCTCAGCCCACCAGGGGGCGGGCTGGCTGGCATGTGGTGCTGGAGGATCGAACCGCGGTCCCTGTGCTTTGCCAAGCTTGCTTCAAGTAGGTGCTTTAGACCACTGAGCCATCTCTCCAGCCCTATGCACTTGCTTGTTATGGTATAAATTCAAAAGTAAATGGGCTTAATTCAGTGAAATTCAGTGAAAAAATTTCTAAAGGTACTGCATAAATCATTCCAAGAACAGTTAAGAGACAAAGATAGAGAAAAAGCCCACTAAAGTGGCCTGCTGAGAAACAGTAAATAAAGCAGCAACAAACCCAGAAATTTTTTTAATTTAGATAAAAAAATTAGATAGTCAAGCACTGGTATTCAGATTGCAGTTTTCATTCATAGCTTTTTAGCTATTAGGCAACCCCCCCACACACACACACACAAAGATGTCAACTACCTTTTTAGAAACTAGTTTTCTTGTCGGACACTTCAAAGCTGTTGTGTGATAATGATTTTTAAAAAATCAGTAAATTTTTACACTGAGTAATAAATAATATAGTCTAAAATGTTTAGGAAGTCAATAAAGAGGAAAACTATTACTTATCAATATTTTAAACTCAAGTTATCTTACTCATTCAGAAAAAATACGTAATCCTCCAAACCTCCCAGTCTACCAAACAACAAAATGATGTTAACATCTATTCTGAAATATAATGAAAACAATCCCAGCTACCGTATCATCCATCTAAAGACCTATATATAAGTTTACTCTTCTGATGGATCAAATCATAACTTCTGTCAAACTACTCAAAGACCCCTGAATACTCAATGACGAAAAACGTGTATAATTTAAAATGAGCTTCTTTATAACAAAATACTTATGTCGCTATATAAACACAAGGCGCACCTATAATTTAAAAATTCAGTTGCGAGCTGGGGAGACAGTTCAGCGGCAAAAGCGCCTGCCTGGCAAGCGCAAGGTCTCGAGTTTGATTCCAGGTACTGCAATAAATAAATAAATAAATAAATAAATAAATATCCAGGATTTTAGTGGCATCCACTCGCCCTCACCAGGAAGGTGATGGGGAAAGAAAGGAGCAGGTGCACTCGAAGCTGTAACAGCACGTACTCCCGTAACCAGAGAGTCCAGAGGAGGAGGAGTCTTAAAAGCTGTTACGGGGTGGGGTCCCCGGCCGCCCGGAAAGCCCCCTTCTTCTAGAACCAAAGCACGATCTGTTATCCGCAGTTCATACCACACGCACTTCAAACTAGCCAGGAAAAAAAGAGAGAAAAGAAAAGAAAAGAAAGAAGACAAGATAAGACGGGCCCCCAGGAGTGGGCCGCGGGGCAAAAAGTTCGCTAGCCCAGGCGCTCCAGCGGGGCCTAATATCTAATCCGCATTTCTGCGGCAGTAAGCAACGCTTGCTCCCCCAACCCGACTGCGTCCCTTTTCCCCAAGTCTATCCCCAGTTTAACTGCATTTGCAGTAAAGCGCGCAGAAGGGAGAGCACCGGGGACACGAAGGAGGCCTACTAAATTAACGTTCCCTTCCCAGAAAAGAACCAACTCTCGGCCGAAGTCAGGAACGCCTACACCGACCCTCAGCCCTAAGAACACCGTAGGAAGCTCACGAGCTAACCCAAACCCTAAGGCTCACGCCATTCCACACCGCGCCCGCTCCACCCGGAGCTCCAGGCGCCCACAGCCCCACAGAACGGCCGGGGACGGGCGCAGCCCCCACCCCGCTGCCAGCGCCCTCGAAGGGAATCCCGAGCCCCGGCGGCCTCCTCCAGAGGACGAGACAGAGAAGAGGGGTGGGGGCAGCAAGGCCCAAAGGGGCTCCTGCTGGCGACAACGCGTCCCAAAGATGCTCACCCGGGAGATGGCGTCGATTGCTCCCGGGGGAGGGGGCGGACAGTCTGCCCGTGGGACGGAGAGCAGGCAGTGAAGGCGACCCCGGAGCCCGCAGAGGACGCGAGGGCCCCAGGCCCGGCCCAACACTGCCAAGAGTCCCACAGCCGTTGCTCTTCCGCCCGTATGGCTCGCTGCCCCGTTGCCAGGGGCCGGGACGCGCAGGCTTTACCTCTTCACGAAGTAGCCCCTCCTGCCACAGGCGGAGCGGCGGTCAGCGCCGAAGGCCCGCCAAGCGGGGAGGGGGGCGGGGGGTCAGTCCTGAGAAACCGCAAAGGAGGTTCACAACGCTCCCGACGGCCTAGAGCCCAACGGCCCCTTTTCTACTTCAGCTTCTCGGAGTCAACCGCCGCAGCCTCCGCCATCTTAGGATCTCATTGTGGTGGGAGAAAGGGGGCGGGGGGACTGCAGAGGGGGCCACGCGCGGCGCGAGTTGCGCCGTCTCCTCAGCAACCGCCGCGCGGGGGCGAGAACTAGCTGGACCCGGAGCCGCAGTGCGATCTCTGTACGCGCTACAGTTAGGTCACGTGACCGGGGAATCTGTGTTGTCCCTTCTAGACCTTTAGCCTAAACGAATAACACAAACTACTAGAGACTACATATCCCAGAATGCCCACGCAGCCGTGGATTGCACGGGCCGTCCGGTCACAGGCACGGGACTACAAGTCCCAGCAGCCTGTGCGCTCTCTGCCCTGGCCTGTGCGGAGAGATTGATGCCTGCGTCTGCTGGAAAAGGAAGGGGGAGCGTTTTGGTTTTCCGTGGAGGTGTCAGCTTCGGATCATGCCGGAAGAAGGAGGAAAGACTAGCATCTGTGCTCTAGTCCCTTCCCACCCACATACCGGTGACTAAGAGAAGGAAACAAAAGGACGTTTACAATATCCAACCCCTAAATTTAACGAGAAAAATCCACTGGAATTAAATAATTTGCTATATATTATGCATAGTGGGTGTCTTAAATATTGTTAATATCACTATAAAAATGGATGACAACCTACAGTTTAATCTTGGGAAATTGTCTCTGAACCTGTAGTTTGTGAATTCCCCTTATTTATATTGTTAACACCTTTATTAAGGTTAGTAAATTGACAAGTAATCTGTAAAACAACTTAATTGGGTAACATGACAAGACTTAATTGCTCCTCGCCGAAACAGTAGAACACTTTCCAATTTTAGTTGCTTACAAGAGCATTCTAGTTTTTAAAAGTTGATAGGAGATGAAGTTTGTAATGCAGAGTAAAGGTAAGCAGGACTAAGGAAATGGTTTCTGGAATCCAACAATTGTTCTCAAGGGCCGAAAAAACTTGTTTACAAGACCAATTAATAGAATGCATTTCAGATAAAGCACTTGTGCAGTTTGCTACTGCATTCAGGTTGGATCAGTACTCTGATGACCATTGGTGCAATAATAGCAGTATTGATTTATCATATTTAAAAAAATATTTTGTGTTTCTAATAGGTAAGTACTGAAATAAAAGAAATATAGTCCCTGCCTTTGAGGCGCTTATATTTTAGTGAAGGAGGGGGAGGGATGGTATAATATAAATAAATTTTGTATTGTAAGAAAAAGTACCATGGGAACTCAAGGAACAGTGCAGCTAGCCAGTTGAGTATTTAGTCTAGAATGCGTTATCTTAATCCTACCATTCAGAGACCTTGAGCAAGTCACTTAGCTTTTCTAAGGCTCAATTGCCGCATCTGTGAAATAGAGGCAGGGGAGAGCATAACACGGTCCACATTAGCTTATTTTATAACATACAGTGTTAAGAATTTCATTGTATATTCTTTATTCTCAACAACCTTGAAAAGGTTAGTTTTACATAAAGTCCATGTTACAGATGAGAGGTAACATAAGTCAAACTTACAGCAACTCCACAGGATAGAACCTAGTTTGAAGCAGAGGTCTACCCTATTCTTGGAGGGCTTTATTATTAGTAAGAAAGAAAATAAGTCAGACATGGTGGCACATTCCTCCAGTTCTGGGAAGCTGAGGTGGGAAGATTGTAAATTTAAGTTCAGCCTTAGTGAGGTCCTGTCTCAAAGAATATAAAAGGACTTGGGATTTGCCTTAGTCCAAAAAGCCTTGGTTTGATCCCCTGTATTGTTGCCAAAAATAAAAAGACCAATGACATATGGTAAATTCACTAATTATTATCATTTTGTTTTATGTATGTATAATTTTTAAATGGGTATAGAAGCTAAGCTATTGTCATGTTTCCTAAATTTATGGGTCCTCAAAATGTCAATACTATGATGTCTTTGTTATAGCTCAGATCTAAAATGTCCCTGCAAATTCTCACCTATGCAGAGATATGGAAAGTGATTGGCTCACAAGGGCATAGCTGAATGGGCTATTAGGAAGGAGGGTATAGTGGAAAAATTGGGTCGGTGGAGGCATAACCTGAAAGAATGTAATCTTATCTCCAGCTCTTCCCATCACTGCTTCCTGGGTGCCAAGCGTTAAACAACTTTCTTCTCCATGCCCTTTCACCATGATATCCTTCTCTTGGAGCCGTCAAACTATGGGCTGAGCCCTCTGAAACTGTAAGCCAAATAAATCTGTCCTCCTTTTAATGTGTATCAAGTATTTGGTCCCAGCACTGATAAAGGTGTTATGTTTTATGTTTAGATGTGCCTAAAGAGTTTCAAGTACTCATCAGCAGGGATTTTTGAAGGTGACTGAATTAAAAAGGCACACAGCTAAGTTACTGTTAGAGGCATACCCTTGTTGAAGGAAGTCACCATTACCTGTTACTTTTTAATGTTATGTAATCTTGTTTATCCACAGATAAATTGTAAGTATAGATGTAGCAGAAACCCTGCCTCTTGTATTTCCTTATACCCCTAATGCCTTGCAGGATTTATTCATGTTCATTAATTTGGTCTTTAAAACGTTCTCTGCAAATAAATAAATAAATAAATAAATAAATAAATAAACAAACAAACATTTTTTGCAATGCCTAGTTCCAACCTGCAGGTGGTGATAGAACTTAAAGGAAAAATCTTCATTGACATCTCCCTGTACTATTTATAATTGAATTTTATTGTTCTTATGAGATTTTTGATATGAAAGAATACATGACAAATATATAAATTATAAATTACAATTTTAAAAACCCTCAAAAACCCAACTAACCAGAAAATAAAATTGATATATTTAAAGACCCCTCATTTTCTTCTCCAAGCTCAATACTTTTTGCACACATAAATACTATTCGGAATTAATGTTATCATTCCTTAATTTCTTCCTATAACTATGGATATGCATATGTAAACACTTTAGTTTTTGTTATTTTCAAACTTTATATAAATGGTATACTGAGTATATTCTTGCTTGACTTGCTGCTTTTTTTTTTTTTTTTTTGGTGGAACCAGGGATTGAACTCAGATCCTTGTGCTTGCCAAGGAAACACTTATTCCACTGAGCCATCTCCCCGGCCCCTTGACTTGCTTTTTCCATTCAAGATTATCTTTCTTAGATTCAGCCATGTAAATGAATGTACACAGTCTATTAAGTAGAATGTAAAAATAATTTTTAAACATATCTAAAGGGATGTATATGTATATATATGTTTATATATGTGTTTATCTCTCTCTCTCACACACACACACACACACACACACACACACACACTAGGGTATATCCCCAATTCTTTTTTATTTTTTTATTTTGAGACAAGATCTTGCTAAGTCACTAAATTACCCATGCTGGGCTCAAACTAGTAATCCTCTTGCCTTAACCTCCAGGGTACAGGAATTACAAGTGTTGCCACTATAGAATGTGATTCATTTTAATTTAGTGTAGTAGGAAAAGGAAGAAGAGATCTATCATCTTAAACAAGGCACTAGTTGAAGGCCTCTGACTTAGATTCTATACCTCCTCTGCTTTAATCTAGCTCAGAGTTTCTTAACCTTGACTCTATTGCCATTTGAGGGCTGGATGATTTTTGGTTTTGGGAGCTATTCTGTGCATGGTAGCAGCCTGGCCTCTACCCACTAGACACTCATAGAAATCCCCTTTCCAATTATGAAATTCAAGAATATCTCTTGACATTGATTTCCATGTATGCCCTAGAGTTTAGGGGAAAAGAAAAAAATCACTCCCAATTGGGAAACTCTTATCTAGTCTTTCCCCTGAGAAAACCTTATTAATTATGATTTTCTACTGTATTATTTTTGTTCAAAAACTTGAAGTCATATATAATTAAACCAATGTTATCAAATTTAGATGCATAAGTAGTGTTTCAAGGCTCTTGTTACCTTTCTCCATTTTCCCTATATCAGATTACCATGACATCTCTCATTACTACTTACTTCAAATTCTTCATTCTGAAACCAAAAACTCTTAGTTCCTGGAGGATATTTTAGCTCTAAGCCACAACACCAATTCTACACAACTCCCCTACCCAACACACACACACACACACACACACACACATAGAGGAGCATTTATTCTCAGCTCTCCTCAGTACCTCCCTCCTTTCTCTGCTTCCAGGCTACCCTGGGGTGAGCAGCCTCCCTCCACCATGCCCTTCCGCTATGCCATTTCTGTCCTGGAGCCAGTCAACCTTTGACTGAACTGTCTGCAACTATGACCCAAAATGAACTTCTCCTTTAAAGTTCAGGTGTTGGGTATTTTGTCCCAGTGATGGAAAGCTGCGTGATACAGTTGGGATTATTTGGAGCATAAGGTCCTCCTCATAGTCTATGCTTAGGTTACCCTCTGCCACCACTGGTTTGGGTTTTCACTGTGACTCTCCTCCACTGTTTGCCTCTCACATAGTCCAAATGGGTATTCTCTAGAGCTGACACCATGCTTTCTCTACTACCAGTGTACCAATCACATTCTCATTCCCTTTATAAATTAGTCTCAGATAGTTTACTGTAGAGTGAAAACCTTAGAATTTATTAATGCCTAAAAAAGAATTAAGTTGTGAAGGGGAAGAAGTAATGTAAGAATCAATAAAGAACTGCAATAGAGAGACTTCGTGCTATTGTGAAGTGAAGGAGTCAGAGAGAAGTGAACAATTCTATAGCAGAAAGAAGGCACTTGGAATTCAGAACACAGATAGAATAAATACTCCCAGAAGCAGGAGGCTAAAGCAGGAGGAATCAGTATCTCCAGAAGCAACCTTCAAGCAATTAAAGCTCACACTAGAAGATGTTGCTGAGATCTCTTACCATGTTAGGGAAAATTCCATTGTCCATAACTGTACCCCACCATTAAACATCCTTCATTGACTTTCCTCCTATTCCACTGATTCACTGCTACTTCCTTGTTTGTTCTTCCTGGAATTTCCTTTCAAACTACTTGCCACCAGATCTTCACTTTAGGCTTTACTTTTGAGATCTGTTA